TGTGCTGCTTACCTTTCCCCCCAAATACCAACCAAGAAAACTAAGTAATTATTCTTCTGTGTGTTTTTATTCAGGGGCAGATCTTTTAAAATTATCTCACACACCATCAGCAATAGCAACGTTGGGAAACGTTCCTAAGATTAATGAGAGAACTTTGAGTCATATTTATCCCACTACAATTTTTTTAATTAATTTCTTTAAAAGGAAAGATAGTTCCCTAGAGAAGTTTGCAATCAGCAAATCAGAAAGAGAAATCTTCAAAGCGAGCAACTTTGCTATGGGGAAAACTCACTATCTCAGACTATGAGCAGTCTGTACTTGGTCTTGGCTTAACCATTTTTAAATTCTGTATGGTGATATCTACTGTGCATCCCAGATTTCTCAGGACAGTCTTGGTGCCACATATCACTTAGGTGACTCCCTCCCTCAGCTCTGGACCCAGAGTTCTAGGAAGCTTCTAGAACAGAGGTTCTCAACCTGTGGATCGGGACCCCTTTATAACAATGAAAATACATCCTGCGTATCAGATATTTACATTATGATTCATAACAGTAGCAAAAGTACATTTATAAAGTAGCAACGAAAATAATTTTACAGTTGGAAGTCACACACAGCATGAGGAACTGTATTAAAGGGTCAAAGCATTAGGAACGTTGAGAACCACTGTGAAGCTGATGTCATTCAGCCTGTCCCTAGAGGGCAGGACCTGGAGAAGTTTCTTCCTCAGCTTTGGTCCCTTTTAGAAGACCAAAAGCCCAGCCTCCCAAGGAAGGTGAGAGCCCCGGAAACTCAATTATTCAGTTCCACAACTACTCATTAAGCAATGGAGATAGTGGGTGAACCAGACCAACAATCTGTTTGCACAGGAAGGAGGGAAGGACTCATTCAGCCGGTCCTTCTCCCTACATCCTGCCCCAAATTGGGCCAACATTTCCAGAGCCCAACACCTGCGCCTGAGAATGACACAATGCCTAGTGGGCAGTGACCCTCTGCCTAAGCACAGCTCTTTGTTTACACTCTCCCACCAGCACCTGTGTGTGGAGACCCAGCATCCTAGATAGATGACACACACCTAAGGTGACCAGACGTCCGGCTTTTGGCAGGACAGTCCCGATTTTTAACAATTTGTCCCATGTCCTGTGGCGTTTTAAAAAAGTCCCGATTTTTGAAAGAATGCACGACAAGCTAGGGAACGGTGGGTTAACAGAAAGGGAATATGGTTTTCGGCTGCTGAAAAGGTTAATGTAACTCCATTTGGGAATGAAGAGGTTAATGTAACTTCATTTGGGAATGAAAAAGCTAATGTAAACTCCCTACTCCCCTCCTGGGCAAGGTCGCCCAGGTGGACCAGTGCCCTACTCCTTTGAGCCACAGGCGCCGCCCTATACATAATTTTTTTTAATATATTATATTTGTAAATTGTACTTATGTTGAAATTAAAAATATATATATTACAATACTATTTTTGTATTTTATGAAAACTTTTGTTGCTCCATATAGACCAAATTTTTAATTAAGAACCCATCCCTGTCCTCATCAATGGTGTCTCGCTTTACCAATGTTAAAATCTGGTCACCTTACACACACCCTAAAGGTCCTGGATCCTGGAGATCTGGGCCTGGAATCTCATTGACTACATTTCCTAGCCATTGAAATCCTTAGCTATGAACCAGATCTAGTCCTGGGTCTGCAGCCAATGTGCTGTGTGACCTGAGCAAGTCACTCCACCTCTCTGAGTGTCCCTAGCTGTTAGGGACATCTTTTGAAGATCCCTATGCCTGTGAAATCCTCCGATCTCAGCCTGGGGTGGCCCTGAATGCAGTGAGCCCTCACCCTTCAGGCTACAGGCTGCCTGGGGAGCCCAGTGACTCCTTGCTGTCGTCAACACCTCCAGCCTCCGCCCTGGTGTCAGGTTACTGGCCCTGCACTCTCGCTGGGTGGCAGCTCTGCCTCTGATATTTTTAGATTCCCCCCTCCGCCTGTCCCTAACAAGAGCCAGATGCATCAGATTCCCGCCACAGTCCCACTGAAATTGCTCTTCTCTGGGTAACTCTGCTGAGCCAGACTTCACCACTACAGGGGTGAGGAGGGGAGCCTCCTCTTCCTGCCACCCTCACTTTTATTTCTCGTTCCCTCCCTGGACAAGCGGACGCTGTCACCCAAGAGTCCAGCCTCTAGTACTTCCCACAATGCCAACTGCCCTCTTCCCCCATTCCAGCTGCTGCGGCCAATTGCCTGCTTTCCCCAGACACCCCTTCACCTCCCTCCTGCACAGGCAGCCCAAGGCCGACCTTTAACTCACTCCTCTAGGAGAGGGTTGTGACCTCCACCACCTCCACCCTAGAGCACCCCATGTGGTGCCCACCCCAGCCCTTTTAGCCCCCAGAGTCTGTGTCAGAGGCCCCACTTGGCCACAGAGCTGGACATTGGCCATGTGTTGCAACATACACAAAATTACCTGCCCCCCACCCCAGGAGGGCAACTGACCTCCAGTCTCCCAAACAGACCTCACCAATCAGCCAGCAGTCCAGTGCAATGCCATCTGGCCTGGAAAGGCATTTATATATTTTTGTCTCGACAGCTTCCCTTCCTGGTCATGTCTGGCGGAGTTTACTATGACAAAGAGCTAGCCTTGGCTGTGCCCCCACTGACCAGGAAGGCAGCAGAGCAGAAGTGAGGGGAGGGGATGCAAAACTGACCGGTTAAGCCTCCCTGTGAATTACCTGTTGCTGTAAAATTGAGTCTGTGCACTTAAGCATGTGGCTCTAGCTCCCACTGTGAAGACATTAAGTGGGAGGCAGAGAGAAAGGGAACCTGGGTCAAACATGCACCTTCATTCCAGAAAAAGTGAACGATAAAGGATTTAAGAATCATTGTGTGTGTAGATACTAAATGGATAGGTTCTATACTTAACAATCAAATGTCACAAGCCCTGTTACCCTTCATCAGCCAGACCCTGATCTGGGGTGATGCCAGCCAGAGAGGGTGCACCTCCCAAGGCAGTGTCAGCCCCAAGCCTCACCCTCTTTTCAGCCTGGCCCTGCCCTCACCCATATCACTGGCTGGGCACCCCCAAGGCTCTCAACACAAACACTTTCTCTGGATTTCAGGGACATCTCACTTTCTCCACTTTGGGACAGAGAAGCCTCCGGGCTACGTGGCCTGCTCTCTGCCTCCTACCCACTCCCCAGTTCCCTGCGGGGGTGGAGGTGGCCCAATCCACAAACCCTCAGTGGGAAAACAGGTTCCACACCTTCCTGCCCTCCCCACGCCCCTCCCTTGGCTGTGGGCTTGGCATCTGCCATGGCCCCTGAGGGCACATCCACACCCTGTTTTCTCCAGAAGGGCCTCCCCACG